GTGCCAGTCTCCAGCAGCTCAACCTTCAGGCAGGTTTTGTTGCTGTAGAGATCCACATCAATGCAGGTGTTGTTCAGCTTCTCCTTCAGGAAGGAAGAGAGGAAGTTCCACACGTTGAATTCCTCCAGCTCCTTCAGCTCCTCCTCGCTGTCTACCTGGATGACTCGGATCATCCTGCTGCTATTGATCCGGATCTGTGAAGGGGAGGAAAGCAACCCGGGGGGGTATTGCCACAGCTGCAGGAAAGGCAGGAGGGGCTCAGCCCCCTAGGAGAACCTGCCTTCTCCTCTCTCACCTGCATCCTGGTCCATATGTCATGCCATTGCGGGACTCGCGTGTTGGTATAACAGAAACGGTGGGAAGCTGACTGACTGCACATATGACCCTCCTGGAGTGGTATGACTGATTCCTTGGCATCTTCACAGAGCAGGAGAAAGGGGATTTAGCAACACAAACCAAACATGAGGCATCTACTCTTGTATGCTTCAACATGAGCAACCTCCCACCAAAACGCATGGGTCCCCTTTCTCTTGCAGGAGTCCCCCCACATAATTATACCCTGGGTAGGAAAAATAGAAATCCTTTCTCTGTTTTCCTTGGAATGAATATACTGGCTGGCTCTTTTCTGGAATATCTGTTCCTGGGATTACCAGGAACAGCAGAGACTCTTCCCCTATTCCTCTTTCCAGTAAAATTCCTCATTCTAGAGCCATCCCTAGCTCAGAGAAGAGCTAAATCCAAGCCTGCCTTCTGCATGAGCTAAGGTGTCAGGGTGAATTAGGTTCCTGATTCCTATGAGACAGGTCTGGACAACAAGCTATCCAAAAGCCCAGATTCCTTTAGCAAGTCTCTTTCACAGCACCAGACCCTTCTTTCACACACAAGAGCTGAAGCACCCGGGGAGAGTTTTGCTGAAGAGCATGTGTCTTGCTAACAGGCTCCCCAGAGCGAGCCTATTCCCCAGAGGCATAAATATGCCTCCTCCCCGAGCTGGCTCAGACTGATGAATTCACAGGTTGCAGTGGTTGTTTGAATAATGTGCTGCAACTATTTACCAGCCAGCACGAGCTAGAAGAGAAATGTAATTACCTGAAAGCAGAATAACATTCAGTTTCCTGAGAAGAGCTATTCTAAGGGGACCGAGGGGGAAAGCAGCAAATGCTTGACAACCCTTTCTGCTTCATTTGCTGAACTGGGGCTGCACACAGCTTGGGCTGCTTAACTCCCTTGCTAAACAGCTCTGCTCCTCCCAACACATTGCACGGTTCAGCTCTGCTTTGCTGGTACCCCAATGAAGGGCTCCCTTCGGTCACTAGGCTGCCCTGGGGCCAGGGTTGGGTTGGTTTAATAGACTTGGGAAGCAGTCACATCACTTTCAGCCCAATATCCCACCCTCTTCTTGATCGGGAGAGACAGGCCACAGCTCCTGTGAAACCCAGTTCACAACTGCCTGGTCTAATCTCTGTTTTCTGAGCAGAAAAAGCCAGCGGGCCAAGCCTGGCGAAGTCACACTGCCCAGGGAGCTGCCAGCACCGTTCAGCACCTCTTTGGGCAACAGGAGAGAGGTGCAAACACTGCCTCAGAGCCAGGACGGCTGCGGGGAGCAGCTGCAACTGCAGCCTGGGAGCAGACGGGGCAGGATGGGGGAAACCAGCAGGCTGTGGGGCGAGCGTCGCCCCTGCCTCAGCAAGCGGGTGCAGGACCAGCGGGCCGAGACCCCGCTCCTGCTCGAAACAGCTCTCTGCC